AGAGGCAGAGAGGAGGCTCCTGTCTCTGGCTGTGTCCTCTTTACCTACGTGTCCACGGAGCTCTCTGCCCGCTCTTTCCAAAGGCTACCCCTTTCTGCTCACTCTAGACTGGGAACACAGAATGCCAGCCGAGTGCCCATTACAAACGCCCTCTACCTCCTATAGAAGAACGGGCTTGGATCCTACTCGGAGTGCCTTTCATTTTACATTGTGGGTTTCCAGAAGAAAAAATGCAACTACCGTTTTCCTCCACGCGTTCCCTCGCCAACCTCCTCTGCGCCTTTACAACAGGATGAGGGATCTGCCTCACACAACCCCAGTGACAGAGAAGTGGCATTTACGGGGTTACTACGCGCCAGGTCGTCCCGTCCCAACAGTTAATGTGTGCTTTCTCTCAATTCTTACTGACTTGGAGAGGCTGTCCCCGGTCTCCCTGTTCACACGAGTGAGAAATGGAAACTCAAAGAGGAGGATGGGTGGCTCGCTGTCCATGTACTCATGACCCAGCTGGGAACTGGAGAACTGCACGCCCAGGCTGGACGCGGAACCGACATTCTCTTCCCATCGGCTGCCCTGCCTGCAGAGTTGTGAAGAACTAGGTCCGTTTTCTGGCAGAACTGTGTGTGTGCGTGCGTGGACACGTGGGTGTGCAGAGGGGAGCCGAGAAGGAGTGGTGGACCTGGAACAGCGCAGGCCCAACCGTGAGAAAGGAGAGAGACATTTGTGGCCAGAGCCCTGGAGGTCATGGGTTGGCCTGGGAGGACAGTGTCTGCCAGAAAAACGGGGTTAACACAAGTCAAAAGGAACCTGCTCAGTGTTTAAACAGGAAAACTTTTCCCAGAGGCCAGATGGGCGGGGAAGAGAGGAAGTAGCCGGGTCTTGAGGGCAGAAGGTGTGGAGGTGAATAACTACACACGTGCCCTGAAGGGCTTGCAGAACAGGGGTCGTAGCCGGGGTCTGACAACGTCTTCAAGGAGCAGAGCTCCTGCCACCTGTCCCACATGGACACTGCCATGCCGGTCACACAGCTGCTGAGACTCGGCTCCTCCAGGGCAGGGCTTCTCCAAGTGTGGTCCCAGGACCCGCGCCACTGGCTCATTGCAGAGGGGTTAGAAATGAACTTCCTGTGTCCTGTCTCACACTGGGCGTTCTGTGTCCTCTCAGAATTCATGTACTGATGCTCTAACCCCTAGTGCGGCTGCATTTGGAGGTGGGTCCTCTAAGTAGTTACAGTTAAATGAGCTCAAAAGGGTGGGCCCTGACCCCGCAGGACTAAGGTCCTTAGAAGAGACATCAGAGCTTGCTTGCTCTCGCTCCTTCTCCCCACCACACTCCTCGTCCCACCAGGCACGTTACTCGGAGGAAAGGTTACGTGAGGGCACAGCCAGAAGGAAGCCATCAGCAAGCCCGGAAGAGAGCCCTCACCAGAAACCAAACCCTCCCAGGATCTTATCTTAGACTTCTTGGGCTACATAACTTGAGAAAATAAATGTCTGTTGAGGCCCCGGTCTGTGGTATTCTGTAACGGCAGCCTGAGTGGGAAACGCAGGGGTAGTCTTGACATCTGTGTTTTACAAAGGTCTCTGGGTGGTCCTCGTACAAGCTCAGTTTTGAGAAATACTGTCCTACCCTTAGGCTGAGCCAAAAGGCCTCAACCCAACGATCAGGAGTGCCTTGGAGAATAGAAATGAACATTTCCAGACTATAAAACTCATGGGGAGGGAGGAAAGAGGACACACAGAGAACAGTACAGCAGAGGAAGTGGCAGACCGACGCAGACTCACAAGAACACAGGGGAGGGCATCTTTCACCCCCAGGAAGTGACCCATAAACCAGCTCCTGAAGGCTGGTCTACCAGTTGCAAGTAGGAAGGAAAACCACAAACCAAACTCATGAAGACTCAAGAGATCCCCTCTCCTCTTGGCCCTTGGGATAGGTAATCTCAGGCGATGTCTTGGTTCAAATGCGCAGAGTGGGAAGTCGAGGCAGCTCTGCGTAGCAAGCCCCAAGGTCCTGAAAATGCCCAGGTGCCCCCTTTTGACACAGGCCTGACCCCCTCGCTTTGGCACTCTGGGATTGTTATCAGAAGGGAAGCAGAACTTCACGATTTGGAAAATTCTCAGCCTGGCTATACTGTAATGAATAAAAAGGCATGATCAGGAGAGAAAACCACGGGTGTGACCAAGCAACTGTCTGATAAAGAGATCAGTATGGACAGAAGGCGGGCACAGGCGAGGCTAGTTATCGAGACAATGGGAGAATGACCCTGAGGGCATTTCTAAAATCATCGAGGTTGTAAACACTTCCACTAGGACCAGTCTCAAACCACCAACCTTGTCACTGAATGTGAAGCCGATCAGGACATGCACTTGACTTTGTGGGCTGGTAAATGCCACTAGGCATCAGTTTTTGTCGTCGTTTGTTTTAACTTGCCAGAAGGCATGTCCACTCACCAGAGAGACAGAGGGCGGAAGCACCACCCAATGGGTATGGTCACTCTTCAACCCCTCCTCCTCCATTTCTCCGCCCTGTTGGGATTTTGGACACACACACACACACACACACACACACACACACACACACACAAGCCTGGCACATTTTTCAAGACATCAAGGCTGGGATTTGAAACATATGGTTGGCTATATGGGCTCTGGCTTCCCTTAACCATGAGGTCACTGGGCTGGCCCCCATCACAGGTCTTCGAAACCCAGTTTTATATCCAAGAATTCCTGGGGAAAACATAAAGCTATTCTCCTAAAGCAGAGAGGTCTCCAAACTAATATAATCAAAATGATTGATGCAGAAAAATAAAGGTCAAAAGGAAAAAAAAGAAGAAAAACTTCGAACATTCCAAGAAAGATAACTGACAAATAACCCTAATGGAAATTAATCTGCATATCTAGGAAAAGTTTCTGATAGATGTAAATCTTTCTGATCTAACTCCTTCACCCCCCAAAAAACTGACCTCCTTCTGAATTAAAAGAGAACTGTGTCCTTCATCTAGTCTGTAACTCTACCTTTCCCCCACAAACACTTTATGCATACAGTTTCTTGTCAGCGTCACCGCTGGTTTCAAAACTCGAAGACAGACAAACCGTGGGGTACTTCCCTTCTCACTCATCTCTCAAATAACACCACACAGGCATCTGATGAGAGTGGCATCTCTGCTCTCCTTCAGACACTGGTTCTTAAAACAGTATCAGATTCCCCAGGAGGGCCAGGGCCCGACTCCTCGAATTTGCTTCAGTAAACCTGCAAGGCCCCCAAATCTGTGTTCCTGACCACCGCCAGGGTGACGCTGCGGCTGCTGCCGATCCTAGGACCACGTTTCGAGACCCCTCTTCAGACAGGCTTGGATCGCTATCAAGTCATGTTTTCTGAGAAAACCACAAAGCCCTCCCTTAACAGCCATTTAAATGTGCAGACAGCAAGGAATTTTACACACATCCCCACGGCCTGCCAATCACTTCCACACATGCACACGCTTTTGGACGCAGCCGTGCACTGCTCCTGTTACAGCCGAATGGGATGGAGAGCACTGAGCGCTGACGCAGGGCACTGGTCGGCACAAGTACGGCTCTGTGGTCGGGGGCCTCTGGGTCCTCGAGCTGCTGCTCCTGTTACGTCACGTTCACCACCACCTGGCCCTCACTTCCCCACATGACTGGGCTGGACGCATGGTGCTATGACATCTCATAGGGGAACAACTTTAGGTCCTGGGAGGTAAATGACCCACCCACCCTGGGCTCTGCATTTTAGGCGAAGCTTCAGTTCCTCTGACACCCATTTCCAGTTACGGACCTGCAGATTCCAGACATCTACTGGCCCCAAGGTCATGAGGGCGTAACTGGGGTGCCGACTGCAAACTAGGTCTCATCTGGTTCCTCACCACACGGGCCCTGGGGCTTCTGGCCCGACACTCAGTGGCCCCGGATGTTCTGATGTGTAACTCCTGATCACCCCAGCTCCTCGGCCTACCCACAGCTCTCGCACTGCAGTAGCCACTTCCCATGGCTGCTCAGAGGCAGGTATGCCCCAATAGCCCTGCTCCTGGTTCACCGCAGAGCTTCGGAGCTGAGTAACAGTGTCCTGGGGTGCCCCATGCCCCGCCCAGCAACCAGGGAAGGGACTAGCCAAGGCTGCAGCCTGGCAGGCACAAGGTGTGGACAGTGGTGGTCGTCTGGGGCTCCCATGGCCTGCATTCTCCAGGAGAGCTGCAAATCTCTCTGCCTTACTTGGGTGTGGAGACCTGGTCTGCCAGGGGCCCTTACATAATGCAAACCCTGTGAGCCCCCAAGGCACCCTCGGCGTCCAAACGTTTCTTACGTTCCAGATGCTGGTGCTGTCTGAAACATCTGTGTTCCACAGTTAGAGAAACGCCTTTAAGTGCACACCAGTGACTCTTAGAAGGAGATCAGCCTTGCAAAAGGCCCAGCAGATGTGGCTTGAGGAATTTTGGCCACCACAACTGGGTGGCTCCATGAAGCACATTCTCAGACACGTGCTGCAGCACTCGACATGCCACTGAGGGCCAGGTCCGTTTTCTCACCCATACAACAGGGGCAGTGACAGGGCATACCTCAGGTGCTGACTGGGAAGGTTTATGTGCACTTGCCTGGGTCGGTCTCTTCTAGGGATAGCTGGCAGAGGGAGCCCTGGAGTCTGGCTCCAATAACAATACAGCATTTGTTATTACAGGGCCACTAACTGTGTGCTTGCTTCATTTACGTCTCTCCAAGTTTTCCGTTACATGCGAATTAGTACAGATGTGTCTCTTCCCACCGCATGACGGGGCACACGCAACGTGGTTTCCCTGGGAAGGCGGGAAGCCCGGCACCCCTGCCTGGGGTGGGAATGGAGGGGCATGAAAGGACTAAGGGGTCCCTGTAGTTTCTACCCAGGTCGCCTCCCTTTCAGAGAGCCACAGCTGAGCCACAGCCCACGGTCAGCCCGAGCGAGCGGAGGGAACAAAAGCAGGGCGGCTGCCAACCCACACTTACGTCCAGGACCGTCCATTGTTCGACAACAATAGCGTCATAGCCCTGTATGGTTTTCTCATCTTCCGTGGAAATAGCTTCGAAGATGAATACTCCATCTGTCAGACCATGTAAGGAATCTGTGGAGAGAGAAGGCGGGGGCTCTGTAAACCGTCTGTGGCAGGAGCCTCACAGGCTGCAGAAATCTTCACTGCATTCATTAATAATCCCAATCAGAACATCTTTTCAGCATGTTAATTAACAAAGGCACGCACAGCCACAGAGTCTAGCCCCATCAGAATGAATGAGCCTAATTTACCTCGCAGTTTTGAATAATATCCTTGATTTCATGAGCCCAAATTTCATTGTTAGCAATCACCATGTGATTTCATGCATTTACCTTCCTTTTCAAGCTCCGGCGTCAGGATGCACTGGGGAGAACTGATCCAGGGTAGGACACAGTCATTTAGAGCCGGGTTTTAGAAGAAAACTATATTTAGGCGAGAAAGCTTTTTTTTGAAATGGGGGATAGATATAACACACCAGATCTGAGCTTGTCAGACACACTCCGGCTGCCTTGATTCTCGGAAGCCGTGTGATGTGGGCTATGCACAGACATTTTAGGCAGCTCTTGTCAAGGGGTGGAATTTGGGGGAGGGGTATCTTCCCCAATGATTTACGGCTGGAAACGTCTCCCTGGGCATTCCTCTCATCAGTGTGCCAGGTTCGAGCTCTACAGTCACCAGCCGGCATTACATGGACAGCATGGTTCAGACTAGCTCACGCAGTGAGAGTAGGAAGAAACGCAGAGCAGGGTTCCTGACCTTGCAGGCTACACCGAGTGAGGCACACTGTCCTGCTTTGGTTCACGGTTCTCAAACGCCCTGGATTCACTTAGACAAGATGGTACAAAGAGAGCTGGTGGGCAGGATGGTGCTGCAGCGAGAAAAGGGGACTCTCTGCCAGAGAAGGCTCAGGTGAGTTTCTGAGCGCTCAGTGTGCTGGGCACGTGTGTGCCCGTGATCCGGGCCGGGTGGAACTGGGGGTGGACCGTGGGAGCAAGACCTTGTCACTGATGCGCTCTCTCTCTGGCTCGTGGAGGAAATAATAATAAATTTTAGAAAGAAAGAGAGAAAGAGGACTAACTGACGGCAGGTGGCACAGGTTCAGGGTCTATCATAAAAAGTGGTGTGTGTGGGGGGCCAGCAGATGGCGCAACGGCTACGTCATTGGACTCCCCCGTAGACAACTGTGTTTCGAGCCCTGGACCCAGTGACTTAAAACTCATGCCAGGCACGTGTGCGTGCATGCCCAAGATGCCCAGAGGAGAATAGAGAAGAATGGATGGTGGCGTGGTCATCCTCCCTGGGGGGTGATTTCTCACTTTCTGTCTCTCTGTCTGTCTCTGTCTGGCCAGCGCACACGCCTATAGCAAAAACCTCTCCAAAATAAATAAATAAATAAATAAATAAATAAATAAATAAAAGGCAATGTGTAATACTATTTATATACAGAAAGGTTTTACAAATCAATAGCTTTAAATGCCAAAATGCCATCAGATGTGGGCAAAGGACACGACCGGTGATTAATTCCTTCTCTCTCTCCACGGTCGGTAAAGGCCGAAACAAAATTTCAACCTTTTATTAATCACACTGTTAAATTTTGAAAGCCAAATACTCACTGCTAGTCAAGGTGGGGTGATACAGGGATCTTTATAGTGCTTAAGGGGATTTTAACTGCACGATCTTTCTGGAAAGTTTTTTTTTTTTTATTTGAAGTAAGGTTTCACTTCAGGTGTACGCACGTGCCAGAGAGAAAAAAAGAGAAAGAGGAGGAAAGTGAGAAACTGCCCCGGGGGGAGAGCCACAGAACAACCCATTGTCCTCCGAGCTCCTCTCAGGGTTTTGGTCATGCTCACACTCGCTGTCAGGTCCAGGACTCAAACCACGTTTGGCCATGTGGGAGTCCAGCACCTCAACCACCACACCACCTGCTGGCCCCATCTAGAGCAATTTTCTGAGCTTATTTATTCATTTTTTCCATAGACAAAGACAGAGAAGCATGGACCTAAACTGGGTCTCCATGCCAGGGTCCACCTCCAGCCTCAGCCGGTCTGGGTCACAGTGCATTTGGGCGTACAGGGAGGCCTCAGGACACGAACCTGGGACCTTTCCACGCTGGCGCAGCACTGCAGAGTGCTATGCTGCCACTTCACCACCGGCTGGCCTCTGGGCAGCAACCGTCTCAACATCCTGGGATAAACAGTCCATCCTCTCTGACCCAGAAATCCTGCCTCTTCTCATCTACTCTGAGGCAATCTCAGCAATGCCACCAAATATTTATCTGTAGCATTACTTAGAACATTACTTAAAAACGCAAATGCTGTAATGTCAACAGCCCAAATATCCAACCATAGAAGGAAAGCTAAATAAATGAGGAGACTGCCATAAAATGAAATCCTATACTGTGCCAAAATACTGTGGCAATTTAATGATGCAGAAAAATGCTCCAGACACAGTATTATGTGGGGAAAAACAGGACACAAAACTTCCCCAGGAGCTGAATGTGAACTTTTGTATTAAGAGATTCACACGAACAAACTTTACGGAAACACACAAAGTTCTAGAAGCGGCTTTGTGCGCTGGAAATATGTAAACGTTGAGCTTTCTTTTTATCCTTTTTCTGCAAGTTTAATCCAAGAGTTCTACAGGTGTAACACAAGTAAACAGACAATACAGATGAAAAAGAATCCTCTTTTTCTTTCCTCTATGTGGCTCTTGAAGACAGAACTAGAACCAGAGAGTTTTAGAAACTACAGGGAGACAATCTGAGTGGAATTCCTATGGAAATGGCCTTCCGTAGAGTGGTCTGAAAATGGAACACAGGGCCTAAAGGGCAAGAGAGGTGTTACTGGAAGCACCCAGGCCCACACCGAGTCATCTCTGGGCCACGCACTCATTCAATCTGCACCTACTGAGCACCTGTTCCCTGCCAAGTCCTCTCGTGGCCACCGGCGATCTTGCAGGTACCAAGATAAAGGCCCTGTCGCCATGGGCTAACCTTTAACAGAGGGGCAGGATGACAGCGTAAGGTCAGGTGACACAAGCTATACAGATCAAAAGTGGGCGACGGGAGAGAGTGAGGGTGAGTGACTGTTTATGAAGGGGGACTTCAGGGTAGGGCTCCCCACTTGCGCAGAGACATTCGCTAAAGCAAGCACAGCCTGCACGAATCTGCAGGCTTCGAGAGTTCCAGGTGGGGGAACAGCCTGTTTAGAGATGCAGAGTGAATGACGGGCAGCCCGGGATCAGGTGAGCCGCAGAATCATGGAAGAAGACAGTGGGGAGACTGGCCAGCGAGGGGCTCATCCATGTGACTTGCTGGTCAGTGGAATACCAGCAAGTATGAGGCCTGCAGAGATTGAGAAGCCCTTGTGCAGTGGAACTTGACTGCTTATGTCTTTGTCACCATTTCAAGAGGATGTACCCTTGATAGCCAACTGGTTGCAGGTAAACAGAAGACAAGTATAGCAGAGCTGCCCCCAAGGAAGCCAGGTTAGATCAACTGACCCCAGAACTCTGAGGGAACCCAGTTGAGATCACAGGGCTTCCCAGCAGATCTCCTCCAGCTAACTCAACAATGTGTCACAATAAATGATTATTGTTTGAAGCCAACGAGTACTTGAGTAGTTTGTTACACAGCATAATTGTGGCAATAGCTGACTGATACACTGCCCACTCTGGACCTGAGAAACATGAGACTAGTATACTTTGCTTAGGCTGGGGATGTTCCTATTAATTCTAAAATGACAAAGAGACCTGAACAGCTCAACAAACCACCGAGGTAAGGGTAATTCTTGAGCACAGCAGTCTTATCCTGATATTTCCCCAATCTAATAAGATAATACTCCCTTGCAAGAAAGATTCCTATGAGTAAACCAATACCATAGCCCACTTTTTTGTTTCCTGTTCGTTTGTTACCAAACAGCCTTAGCAAGTGCTGAGTTTACCTCTCTCATCTGTGCTGCTGGAAGCTTCCCCCAAATGTGTGTTCCATGGTCTCCTAAGACATTTCACATAGGTAACTGGAGAAAGACAGAGCTGCCCTTCGGTCAAACACCATTGCAAGTGGTTTACAGCCCACGAGCAAGGATTGGCGAGCACCACATTGAGCTCATTTCTAAAATCCTGGGTAACCTGGGTAACCTCCAGGAGGCCAGCTGGAGCCCCTGTCATAAGAAGGATGTCCTAAGAAACTCTTTTCCCAAGTCCTGGGGACGCTTGAGACCAAAGAACACTCAATGATTCCTTAGGGTTACATGAACGCTGTACATACTTCCTCAAGGCTTCTACACAAATGTGTGACATCCAACTTACAAAGCTTCTAACTCCAGTTCTCCGGGATGGGAAAGCTCCAAGCCATGCGAATGCCTACCATGCGCTTTAAGCCTGAAGTGCTTCATTCAACGTAAGTAACAGGGTGGGTCTTAGCCCGCCAACGCACAGTTCATGGGGAAGGTACCGCGTGCGGCTTACCCAGACTTTCTCTCTACCCACTCCCTGTCTGGCTCTTCTCCTTCCTCCCAAACTTTAGGCCCAGGAAGGATCAGTGGCTGGGTCTGGGGGCGTGAAGCAGGAACACACCCAGGTCCTGGCTCACTACCCACCTCCGCCACTGCCCACCTTCCCGTGGGCAGCCTGCTACTCTGCTATTCTGAACTCGGCGTGCTGATTCACCTACTACCGACGAAGCCAGTTCAGGATGGCTGTCAAAATCCGGCCATCTGTAACAGCGAGACAGTCAATGAAGCACAGAGAGCAGACGGCTGGGCTTTAAAGGGCCGCTTGTTGTGACGGTCTCGTGCGTCCCGTCTCCTCATTACCTTCGGCTCAGCCTCGCTCCAATGTGAACTGACTTGGGTATAAACAGGTCTGTCTCAAAGGGAAGCCTTCTGATGTAAAAAGGTTAAACCGCCCCCATCTATGGAAAACATCCCATTATCACTGCATTTTTTATGAAAGTAAAGAAGCTTCCCTACTGTGCACTAAAGCTCTTGGCCCCGGTACTGTATAAATATTTGATGCTGGTCTTTTTGGCAAAAGGCCACCTTAACATTCTAAGCTTGTGATGTCCAAGAAGG